CCAGAAAAATTTTACCTGAAGAAATAATTATTAAAGCATACCAACCAAATAATTCTCTCAATAAAGGAAAAAATTCTATCTGAGACTGTCTTTTCAGATTGGTAAAACAGTTTCTTCCATCTTTCAGCTTGATTGGCAATGTTCAAAATGGCTGCAAAATAAATCTACCCCAGGCAATTGAGTGCAAAAGACTGCCATCTCAGTTACAATCCTGTGATTAAGGCTTTTCATAAGAAAGAAGTACAAATGCATACATACCAGAGCATTTGGTTCTATTCATAAACTCATTTACTATTTGCAGTGGGCATTTACTCCTAGAAAGCATGCGAAGTATTTCTAATGGGTTTTCACTGAGACAGCTATTTGTTCCCATTAGTGATTCTTGCCTTTCTCATCACATTCATTATTTTCTTCTTCCCTTAGCTTTTCTGTATGTCTAGAAGTATCTGTTAAGTGCTATCTCAATGGAAAAAAAAAAAATGAAGAGTTTCCTCACAATTGAATGGTGTCAGGACAAATGTATATATTCAGGGAAAAACATAAAAGTTCTACTTCTCAACAAATACAAAAAACAGTTGACACGTATTAAATAGCTAAACATAAAAACAAACGAATATAAGTTCTAGAAGAAAATATAAGAGATTATCATTATAGTCTTGGGGAGATGAATGTTTTCTTAATATGACATAAAACAGAGGCCACAAACGAAAAGACAGATGAGAGCTGAATATATAAAAATGAGAAGTTTCAGTACAGATAAACACACGATACACATATGAAAAAGCCACAAACTATCCAAAAGAATTAAAAGCAGGGTCTGAAAAAGACATTTCACCCATGCTTACTGCAGCACTATTCACAATAGCCAAAAAGTGGAAGCAAGCAAGTGTCCATGGACACATGAATGGATAAACAAAATGTGGTTATGTACATAATATGATGGAATACTGTATGCGCAATATTAAAAAACTTTATAAAGGAAGAAAATTCTGGCAACAGGGATGAACCTTGAAGACATTATGCTTAATGAAATAAGCCAGTCACAAATGGATAAATGCTATACGATTCCAATCATGTGAGATCCTTAGACTAGTCATTCACAGAAACAAAGTAGAATGGTGGTTTCCAGGGACTGAGGGGAGAGGGAAATGAAGAATTATTGTTTAATGGATCCAGAGTTTCAGTTTTACAAGGTGAAAAAAATTCTGGAGCTAGATGGTGGTGATGGTTGCACAACAATGTGAATATACTTAATGCCACTAAACTGAGCACTTAAAGGTTAAAATGGTAAATTTTATGTTATATACTTTACAGCAACAAAAAAGTTCACAAGCTTAGAGAGGACATTTGCAACATTTGTAATAGGAAAATTTTACTAACCACAATATTCCAAAATTTTTGATTAACAGCCAAAGTAATTGCCACATATGAACAAAAAGACACCATGATGGAAAAATGACGAGCCATGAAAAGGCCAATTCACAGACTACAAATAGCCAGTACAATTAAAAGCCCCTCTATTTCTGATAGTTAGGAAAATACAAATTAAAAAATAACAAATACCAGTGCCCATGAGGTTGGGGGGACATTTTTAAAATGATAAATGGCAGAGTCTTTGTAAAAAGGTACTATTTGTTAATATGAGTGAAAAGTTGATATAACTCAGTATCTAATTTGATACAATATTATATTTGGAAAGGTATTTTTAATCTATTGCAATTTTAAAAGTACCTATATTTGAACCCATTAATCCCATTCCTAATTCGGTATCTTACAAAAATATTTTTAAAATGCATAAAGACATGCAATAGTGAAAACTGGAAGTATCTTAAAGTTAAGGATGGCTAAATGAATTATATATCCATACAACAGTTTGTTATGAAATATAAAATAAAGAATGAAGTAGATCTGTATGTACTCACATGGAGGGATGTGTCCTGCAACACTTGAAAAGAAAAAAAAAATCAAAGCACAAAGCAATACACATTGTCAGTAGCATTACTCATAATAGCCAAAAACTGGGAACAATACGTCTATCTGCATCTATCTACACCAAGAGTAAATGGATAAACCGTGGTACACCATGTAATGTTAATACCACACAGCAGTAAGCGTGAATGAGCCATTGCCACGTGCAACAGCGTGAAGAATCTTACAAACATAATCTTAAGTAAAAGAAGCCATATACAAAAGTGTATGTATGATTCTGAATTTTTTTATATAAAGTAAAAAAGTAAGCAAAACTAATCTATGTTGTTATAAGTCAGGATAGTGGATACCCTTGGAAGTAGGAGCAGGTAGGACAGAAAGGGATATATGGGGGGGTTTCTGGCTTCTACTGCTTAATTTGTATGCTGGTTATACAGGTGATTTGTACTTTTCTTCAGAAAAAGCCAAAATATATGCACAGTATGATCCCAATTTCATTTAAGT